AAACGTCAGGAAAATAAACCTCTTGTTCCAGTGATCGTTTCTTCTTCTTCTTAAGCAAGAGTTGCTGGATTCTGTCCGCCACTGCGTCCATAACCACTTCTGGACGTGGTCTTGCGATCGGAGCAAGATTAGTTAGAGAGGAGTGAACGCGGTGTGTCTGCCGCATTATAACTTAATTCCATTCCCCGCAGTAGTCCACCGATCGGTTTGGAGGGTGACTGGGGCCTTGGCCTGGGAATAGAGATTCAGATCAGGGCCTCAGCGCATTCTTATCGCTATAAGCAATCTGACGCGACTGAGGGTACCTCACTGTGCTGCTAAAGGCCGTGGCTTGCAAACTGAGGGGATAATTCGGACCGCGCAGTTAGCCCAGTATGTGTGTGTTTGTGTGTAATGGCTGACTGGCGGACAGAGAGTCAGGCGGAAAGTGATCTCACTTCATGTGGTCCTGTAACCCCTCCGATCTCTGGGATCTGAACCAAGTGCGGTGGTTCACTCAGGAGCGGCTCCGGCCACGCCAACCACTCGCGCCCTCTCCGGCCTCCAGTCTTCTTGACCTGCTTATGAAACCGGGCTCAGGTTGGTGGGGAGGAGAGAATGCGTTAGATGCAGCGCATGTCTATCATCAACATGATCTAGTTCACACGCAAGTCACCGCATTTGCCTTCATTCCGCTGTAAACCATGCGGTGGACATCGTCGGATGCAATGGCCAAACTGTCAATAATCTTATTCTAGCGAGCTTCGTTTATGATCCACCTACTCCGAGCGCATTTAACGAGGCTAAAAGTCTGCATATTGCTGCATTGCAAGATTAGAATGGCCCGAGACAGACGTATTGGTTATTTTACAGGAATTAGTATCTATACCGCTAGCGAATCAAGTGCTGTGTTGTCTGAAGACGCTATCACAAGCACTTTCGTTTCTGCGGTTGACCCCGACGCCTGTTGACGATCGCACATCGCCCTCACCCTCTAGTAACAGTCGTTCGCTCCGTGCAAAGGATAGTAATTATCAGCCCATTTACCAGCCCCCTTGCCTTGCGGGCGGCTTGACGGCTATGAGTTGTATGCAGAGAACTCTTATTTACCCGGTCTAACTGAACAGTTTTCATTATCCCTGAATATGTACTGGCCTGATGAAGAGTTGCTGAAAACAAATGTTGGCCAAATCGACTTTTCAAATTAGGCATAGGAACCTTTGCTGAAAATCTGAAGTCAGTCCTCCTTAGACGAATTTGAACGCAAAATGCGGAAGGTCACGTCTCCTATAGTGTCCTGTTATCTGATTATATGTACGTGTTCCAGACAAGAGCCATCAAGGCGTCCGAGCTGAAATAACTAGGGCGAGTGAGTAGTACTGTAAATTTTAATTACACTTTTGCCCACGCCCAGATGATATAGAAACTTCTTTTTCAAAGGGGCTCAGAATGCCCCATTCGCCAATTTGCATTTACACATGGCAGTAAAACAGACTTTAATGAGAACGGATGGTCATGATCTGACAAAATTTACGTTCACGCTTATATTTTCACACTAGCTCTGTCCTAACTTACAAGCATCTTCAAAAAGATAAGGACCGTTAAAGCATCACTTGCTCATGGATGCAAATTTGGGCTTTTGTTGTTTAGGATTTTTGTACAAGTGCCTACTTTGATATAGTATCTTATGGGCTGCAACAGTAGAGCAATCGTCTTCATGGCAAACTCTTTCTCTCGGAGTGCACTGCTCATGGGATATGAAAGATTAAAATACCGACAAGAAGAGAGAAATAGGTAGCCTCTTCCGTTCCAGACTGAAACATTGGCTTATATGCAACATAAAACTACGGTCGGGAGGCAAATGTTAAGTGTGATTGCATAATTATGCTTGCTGTGTTGGTTGTGGCGGAGGAGGAGGAGGAGGAAGGAGAAGGAAGAGAAAGATGTGGTTGTGATGATGATGATGATGATGACGACGACGATGAGGATGATGATGGTGATGCTTATGGTGATGGTGATGGTGGTGGTGTAGAAAAAGAAGACGAAGAAGAAGAGGAAGAAGAAGGAGGAAGGAATACAACGATGACGGCGTCGTCATCGTCGATTAAGACAGAAAAAGGGATAAATTCGTGTAATAAAACAGCTTACTTGGCCCTTTCTTGCTCAAGGTTTGCAGCTATATTCTCCATTTCTGCGATGAGATTGTCTTCGCGCATTTTGGCCATATTCTCGCGTGCCTCCAAGCGACTGTCGTTCTCCATGGTCTTGGATTGCAGCTAACAATACCGATAAACAATTAATAAATCGTTGCACTGAAGAATCAAACGGGATAAGTTTCATTTTTAGGGTTCCATAAAAACCCACCCTGAATAACCGTCGCTGCAAATTATAAATTGACATCCGATGCGCCTGCGCGTGCCTTTCACTGAATGCGAGTGCGGCCAGTTCAATATTAAGAGCTATTCAGAGGCAAGTGCCTTAGAGATTTTATTGGTGGCCTTGCACTATCAACGAGGCAACTGGCCTTTCCCTAATTCAAAATTACCATTTGCATTTGCATTGGCGTCGACCCCCTATGTTGACCTTCCACAACTGGTGATCAAACAATTAAATAGCCCCCATTTAAAAAAAACGTTGCAATTTTCTGAAAATGCAGTCGTTTTCGCAACCCCGCCCCACTATCATTTGGAATACCCAGACTCTATATTTTGCGGTTCAAAGCCAACAGGCAAATCAGCTAACGTAATTACTAATACCCGAAACAAGGTTCATAACGGTACAGACTGCGTTCAGCATGCATCTTACCAAAGCACGCTTACGTAGGCATTTCATCTAAAGTAGATATTTGCCGGCACGTTAAATAGCATGCGCAGGAACCTTCTGAACTTTCAGGGTCTCCAGTTTTTTTCTGAAATGGACGTTCAGCAGCAAGTTACTGTGCGGTGCTTTATTGCTGCAGTGCGTATCTACATCACTGGTCCCAGTTATACAATTTTGTGGACTTGAATGGTGCGAGTTAATTGTTGATAAACCCCAGACAGCTGCTGTTTTGATGTCGCTGTTGCCACAATTTGTCATCACTTAGAAATAAGGATTTTGTTTCAAAGTCTGCAACAACATTGAGGGTACTACTGAGGTGAGTGGTTTTCATTCACTTGTGGTAGATTCGATGAGGTTTTAAGACATCAATCAACAACCAAAATTCGGTAACCCCATCCGCGACAGCGGTAACTGGGATAGTGAGTTTTGATCACTCTACATGCGATCAACAAATATGCTGCAGCTTCAAAATCGAAGAGTTTTATCCATGCACAGTTGCTGGCTGATGCCTCGCAGTGGCAGTAGCCGAACATATGTAACTGGATTTATTGTAAGCATATAAAATGAAACCCACAGAATCCTCATTAATGACGGTCCTATAAGGCAGGAACCTGTGGTTATCTGTTACTATAGTGCCCCTTACAAGGAATCGTTGCCCACATGCATAAAACTGTAAGGGTCTTTTCTGTAATTATCATTTACTGCTTCGTCAGAGGAGCTACTTCATTTCAAGCCTTCATCATTTACACCTTTCCTGTCAAAGAGTCGTTGATGTACGTTTTTAATGATAAAACCTTGAAAATCCGCGTTTATTTATAGCATCCCGTTTAGGTTGGCTATATGATATCCAATCCGCTCGAAGAGAAAGTTCTAGGAGAGCCAGGAAACCCCTCGAAGACATGGACCAGTCAGATCTGACGAGGACTATATAGTCACAGCTAAAGTGGGACGCTTTCTAACGCAGTGTGGATAAAATGCACGCGTGGAATGCAAATTTTAATAACATTTTCTAAAGTATAAGTCCAAAATATAAACTGCTACTTTAGGCCGATCTCCAAGGATTTTAGGGGTCAACAGAAAAATCCCGAAGTACCCTCGATGTTTTCAATAACTGTTCAAGAGCTTACGCCATTTAGACTGGTTAGCATTTGTAGTTGAATTATTTTATAAAGTCTACCTGCCGTGAACGTGAACGTTATCGGTATCCATAGCACACTGCTAAACCACCCACTGCCTAATATGTTGATTACTTTTAAAACTGAGATTAATCACCCCCAGCCCATCAGAGATATTTGTTTGTTGAATAGGTTAACCTCGTGGACCAAACAGTTATTTTTTTCAGCCAATCATCCTAAATGGCCTTGTCACATAGCATTTTACTCAACCTTGCTGATATATAACAAATCTCTTCTCCCTCCTGTTAAATATAAAATAACTGAGGAAGTAAAAACGGAAGAGCACACGCGGTCAACTAACCTTCTTTGTTTTCGTTTGGTTGTCCATTTTTAGTTCCTCGATTTCAATTTCCAGATCAGTATTTTTTCTTTTGTACTCATTGACCTGTGGGGTGAAATTAATAGGAAATGTAGTGAGTCTCCTGTGCAACGCATGGCATATCTCAAGCTAAAGTTCCAAATAATGCCTGATGGATAACTTCAAAAAACGCGCTCATTGACCAGTCCGACTTTCGGAAGTGAATGAGGGCGGGTGCGCTTTGGTAGGGAACTCTGATACATAGTCAACTCGGTCGGTTACATTACAACGGCAGACGAGTAATCGGGAATTCAATCCAAATTGGTCGTTTCTCGTCATCATCAGCCGGCCATGTGCAAAGCCCATACTGGAGGGGTGGGTGTTTGAACCCGTTTTCGGTCGCAAGACGCATCAAGCAAGGGCTTCACTGTTGGGAGTCAAAAAGGCCCCGGCCCGCAGGCTAAAAGCGCAGCGTTTGACGCTTTTTTTTCTTCTGTTTGCATCGAAACCTCATGTTTACTCCATTGGACCAATACAAACATGACGACGAGTCGCAACCATGGTTGCAAACTCAACGTATTCCAGCCTGGATAAAGTCCATCAACTGACCACTATTTGACCAAGAACTGGCCTTCTGAAAAATGCCACCGAAAAGGCGATGACGACAAGAGTGGGAGGATTATCAGAATTGGGGATTCTGACTGCACCATTGATGTTCCCAGCCTGCGCGTGTTCAGAAGGTAGTCTACAGATTTAGTGGTCCATCAGCCTTGTTGGCCAAGGTAAGCGATACCGGAATGGTCATTTCGGGTTCATGAGCCATCCTCCGCCAAGTACACCCAACCTCAGGTTCTTCGGCAACCGAGGCTCGAACCCGCGAACTGTTGATCAAGACAACGAACCCCTAGCTCAAGATTAGAGTGTGATTCTTCTGATCAACGGGTCGTGCGTTCCAACATCGGCCTAGTTCACCACCTGGGATTTAATATGGCTGACTGGTGACGGCTAATAAGCCAGAAATGGTCAGTCCGGTCTCCCTTGTGTTAGACAGTCATGTCATTTTGCCTAAGTCATTAGCCGCTAAGCG